AGACTTCCTCAACTCAGCACAGCGACACGAAGTATACGAGCCCTAACCTAAGCGTTTTCGACGGATTCTTTTCCTTTTTTCTTTACTGCCGGCCCATTTCGCACCAATACATTCGCATTCGTGTGCAAGAGCCACACCAATGTGATCCTGGGGCATGCCTTTAACACATTGCGGACCGCCGTTGTATGAGTACCTTCGTATCTTTTTTATATTTTTCAAAAATGTATCATCATTAATCTATCAACAATTTTATCAGTGATGACACGTATGGTTTCCCGGCTCTGAAAATGAGTGCAAACAGTTCAGGAGCATTGAAAAATGTCAAATAAATCAGATTAAACTATGCTGTTTCGTGCGAAATCGTGCGCCACATGGTGGCGCACGCGGTACGCATGATTTTATCTCACTCATCATTCAGGATAAGAACGAAAAGAACATTGGAAAAATTGCATTTGTTTTGGTAAACTCGAAAAACCGGAAGGACTGCTACGCGTTCAAATTCCCGCCGACATCTGTCACAAATGCTGGCGACGGGAATGCTTCCACTTGGTTCTCGGAGTGCCTTCACTAGAAACTCTTTTGACCTTTTTCCACCTATGGCATAACATTCTCTTTTCTTGCATAACATTCTCTTTTTCTCTCTAACCTACGAATTCGAACGCTTTGCCTCGATTCTTTCAATGCGTCGCCTGATACGTGGCCACCCCAAGATGCACCTTTTTCCTACGTCTCTGCCCGACCTACCCTCGACCGTCCATAGAATGTGATTTTCGAAATTTTGCTTCTTTGAAAACTGAACCTTCTTGCGTGGACTTCGTACGCTGTAGCTAATGATCGGTCTCAGGACTTCTGTCAACCGTGAGCCTTGGCGGTTCAGCGTTTTGTAGTGATGTCTGGGAGCTCTCACAAGTGCACACTATCACAGCATCTCTTTCTTTATCTTCTTCAAAAGGCTTAGTCCCAATAAGACACAAAGTGTGTGCTTTTCCAGCTACGCTCTCACCCTTTGGTTGACAGAAGCCTTGTAACCCTGATGATCACAACTAACGTATTCATGTTGAGAGGGGAATGCAAGAATCTGCCGTGTACGATTCCACCCATTTTTCCACAGTATGATCGAACTGCACGATGGCGTTCTCGCAAAACATCATCGATCTTCCAAAAAGATAACGTTTATTCAATTCATTTTCAAACAAACGTATTTCCCGTACTCTACTGAAAGTGAAAACCTTAAAACTTGCTGATATCGGACAACCAGAAACTCGATGATAGTGATGCATAACCCCGTGCAGAAAAGCTGGAGACACGAAGCGCCTGTTTTAAAAACCGTACAATCAAACTCAATCAGAAGCAACAAACATTGAAACTGTCACATATACAAACTGATTTAGAAAACAAAAAACCCTATCCTTATAGGTGGGCTCTCGCTAATAACGACGTCACACTGGGAGTGGACCAATAAATAAATAATAATAATAATTAATTAAATAGATTAACAATTAGAAACAACACGCATAATCTACACGTAAAAAATGATTACCATCAAAGGCAATATATAGGCGCAATTGGCATGATTATCAGGAAGATATGAGCATTATGATGTATAGACTGAAGCTTGAGTATCGTTCTACCTGAATTCAGGGATCGTGGGAGCGCCCCAGAAGGATGAAAGCGAATTGAGCTGGCGCTATGCGGTTCATCAATTCCGCATCTTGTGCGCCGTTGCGCAGTCGTGCCAGAGACTCTTCAAATGAAGCTGTCAACGTGGTAGTCGATGTCGGCACCGTCAACGGAGGCGGTCTGCTCAGAAGTGACTGGAACTTCTGGTACCAAATGAGGTGGCGATCCTGACCCTTCGGCTTGTGATGTTGCCGACCATAGTTTGGCTTTACTGCTATCGGAGCAGGTAGTCATTCTTCACAGCGTACTGAAATGAGTTCTTCATTTGAATACTACCAAAATCAACCATAAACCGAACAATGTGTCGTTTCAGTATCGCACTGGCAGCTATGTGGCACTCCCTACCTCCTTTCCACGAAAGTGGAACTTAACAGCTTCCTACATGCAAAAAACTACGATCTCACGACGTCAACCTATCCAACGGGTGTGCCCAATGCAGGGACAATCTCATCGATTTAGACTTATAAGGACTTCCAGCATAACTGAGACTAGCTGTCGAGACTTCGCGTCGATGCGATTGCTAGCGTCCAGCGGTCGCGTATATGAGCGTAAGCCGAAGGTCAATCCGAACGATTCCCACTGACCGCGCCGACCGCTGAGCGCTGCAGTCTCAACACTTGAACCTGAGGCATGCCTGACACACTCCCTGACCGAATCCATGATCATCTCAAAAAAGCTTTCTTACGTGTCCCTACACGTCGTAAATCGGAAGCAGCAACAAATGTCCGGAATACGTTTGTCAGGCACAAGTAAACCTATTCATTCTACCCTCAGACAAAATACTGCCGTCGTACATTTCTAAGATGGGCAAAAAAGGCGCCCAATACATAACCAAGAGATTGAATAATCTCTGAATCTCCCAGTGACTCGGAGAAATGAAAAGATCCCTCAGCTCTGTACGAAAATCAACTTTAGCTTCATCTAACGTACCCTTTGCTCCGCTTCTCGGTCCATAGCGTTTGGCTTCGGTTCCATTTGAGGAACTGACTGCGCTTGAGGTGGCGAAGAGACCTGCTGGGTCAGTGGAGCCACTAGACCGTACGCTGGCTGCTGCAGCAACAAACGTTGCTGAAGACCCATCATACCCTTAAAAAATCGATTTAGGCCAAATAAAGTCAGGCGAAACAAATCCCAGAGGATGGATCTCGAGCTAACTAACCAGTATGTTGATCATTGACGGTTGCGGTCTTGGTATACCAAGCGATGACAGACCAGAGGCCATATTGATATTCTCTTTCTGCTGATTTAGCAACGACGCCATAATCTATAAAAAGTAAATGTTGGCGAAATTAGGCTAACTAGGATTAAATCAGTAGCAATACATAATTCACAGAATAAACAGCTTAAACTGGCAAAAATTACCTGTTGTTGCTGCAGAGCGATTGCCATGTTTGGCCATCTGATTAGATTGTGATAATGACATCTACAAATAAAAATGCTTTAGGCAAAAAAAACCAAACCTATTAAAACAAATAATCAAAATTTACCTGTGCTAGAGTGTTCGCTCCACTAGTTGGAGTATTCCCTTGAAGCGGGGAATTCGCCGTTAATGGCGAAGGTTGACAAAAAGATGACTCTTGGCTGTATGGTGAAGATACTGGGGATTCCGTTTTCTGTCGTTTATTTGCTGGAGACGGAGCTGAAAATAAAACTTGAGAGTACGAAGGCAAATTTCGATAAAACTCAGGTTGCCAACGAAAGTATAGAACCCACTTCCGATCGATGACCTCTTCAGTTTGGCCGACACTTTACGGAACATCTCGGCTGAGATCTCATGGTTCAAATGCTCATCGTGGAGCGTAGTAATTTTGAGCAGCTGAAAACAAAAAAAAAACTATATAACTCTGAAAATAACACACAATAAGACAACAAAATCTCCACTCAGCATTTTAATGAATAATTTTCAAAATCAGAAAAATTCTAGCATGAGAAGGAAACTTTTTTTCAAACTTTCTTGGGCTTTTAGAACTTTTGGACTTTTTGGAATACTTGGAATTTTGTGAACTTTTGGAATTATTTTGGAAAAAAAATTCGGTGCCTCTTTGTGTTATACAGTATTCAAGTAATTATTATTCAATTATGTTGCTTAGCTCCGCAATAAAGTAAAGAATTAGTCCTTGAGCACTTCCTGAGTGATCCTTACCTGTTCACTGAAGCTGTAGTTCAGACGCAGCATCGCACGACATCCAGACGGCAAGTAGTGCTGATTGGGACGTTTTCCGATTCCTGAACCTATGACACATTAAAATACCTGACTCTTCGGTTTTCAACCAATTTTAGCAGGAATTTGCAACAACGGGCAACAGGTACAAAAATGTGGCCAGACTTCTGAGCACCTTTTCCCCTGCTTAGTCAGTCCACAACGGGTACAAATCGCCGCACATAGTGCACACAGCTGTGTCGCGCATTATGGTTTATTGCTCTCTTCGGACGCAATTTTTTCTTCCACAAAAACGCTTGGCACACAAAATCGAACAAACGCGCGAACAGCACCACTAAATCGCTGGGTGCCCTGAAAGGATAGTGATGGTGGGTTGGAACAACGAAGAGAGCGCTAGAGGGCGCCACAGACGAGTCTGTCAGCTGGTAATAGCATCTGTCTATGCTAATTGTGGGCCACCGTGCAACGAACAACGCGCGGATTATAGGGAATACGATGAAAACGACAATCGAACAACAGCTGCTCAACAGGGTGCTACAAATCTCCCCAAAACCTCGCAAACTCTTTTGTGCTCACCAAAACCTAACAAATGAATTTTAATATGGCTTTTAGACCTTGAAACCCTTAACTACAAAAATGAGCGAGAATCATCAGGCGTATAAAGGTGAGCCGTTTGATTAAAATGCTATTGTTATTTCCTCCCTATCGCCAAGAGACCTGATCCGCCTTTTCTCGCCACATATCTCTTGAAACCCATCGTTCCCTTTGAAACCCACGGGAACCTCAGATGAGAAAACGTCATCAAAATTCCTTACGCTCATTACCCCCCCCCACACCCTAGAGAACCCACACCTGACAGTTACACCTAACAATAACAACCTAAGAAAGACAATTACAGCCGTCAAAAGGAGCGCGCGGCGCCTATCTTTCCTGACTGGATCCCAGATCTGCAGCATTTACTGAGTGCCACTTCAGACCTAAATTAGAACTACTCAGATTTCTCGTTCGAATCACAAATAGCCCTCTGGCCTGCCCCTAATGAATCCCTCAAAGTTCCTACCCCATAAACTAACAACAGTGCTCTATTTAGGCTCATGTACCATTTTCTTAAGCCGCTACGAGCTGCTCAACGCCCACTTTAGGCCAAACTCATCTTCCTTTCAGCACGGATAGCGTTTTCTCCAAGAAAGATGTGACCTTGTGCGGTTAGCGCGAGGCTACTGGGGCAAATTTGCGGTTACAGGTGGGCGGTTTTTTCTATCGCGCAAAACGTCGACCAGTCGTGCCACATGTTCTCCGGCCCACCTAATTATACATGCGGACATGTCTGTTCAGACGGCCACGACGGCGACGACGACGATTGGAGGGCGAAGGGCCGAGGCGACAGATGGGTGATGCGTCAAGTTGAGACAAGCGCCACTACAACAGGTGCTGAACGTCAGGGGTCCGTAGAAGGCTCCTCACCTCGCATTCTCGGCTCTCCATAATGAGCACAATGGAAGACGACGTAACGGTATTTGAACCGATGGTTCACGGTACCGTCCGGTTCTCGCAGGGTTTCCGATGAAGCAACTCGGAACGGATGCAAGCACTTCTTCTTCCATGCTTCAAACGCGTCTTCGAATTCCGCGTAACTGAAACAAAGCATTAAGTTTCTAATGGCTTTAAATATACCTCCAGAGAGCTCTTACCTCGAAAAAATCGAGCATCATGAGTGATCTGAGGGTAGTGGTTCTCTTTCGCGACTGGGTGGGTGAAGGACGAATTGGATCGAGTCTACTGGAAATCCAGCCACTCACACGTGAGCACCGGCTGAAATGATGAGTTGCTAGATGCTGTCTCGCCGTGCCGAACTCTGGTCGGCGGGAAATGCTGACAGTTGAGGAACTTCAGCCGGAAGAGCAGTCGTCGAGACCACCGCTGTGTCGTGTACTCGTGCCAAGTCTGCTTTTGGAGCAACTGGAATTGATAGGCTTTCGATACGTTTCGATTGGCCACGACTTGTTAACGGTACTAGTTAGTCGAAGACAACGGCATCGCGATCTGGCCTTGAGATCCAGTTCAAGGTCAGGCGCCGCGACGGCGCTATTCGGGACACGGACGTTTCGTGCAGAAGCGTCGCGAGGAACCCGAGCGGGTAGCTCCAGGATGTCACCAGAAGACTGTGACTATTGCTTCAGCTTGATGCCATCACGAGCCGTTTGAATTGAGGATGCGGAACTGTCCTAAAAATCGGGGAGTACATATTCCGCTATTCAAAGTTGCTAAAAAAAGGAAGGGTGGACTTGCAAGTACGTTTACATTACTAAAGTAACGCGCAATGCAATTTGGCACTGCTATCAAATAGGTAAGTGGGCGGTCACTTCAAACAGCGTATTGGATAACGACGGGTCAAATGCTCTTGAATCCATCACATCGTCATGACAGATGAGATCAACTTTCATAAGACGCTTGAGATCAAAAAGAGAAAGTCAAGTGGGCAGCGATTGGACAAAAGGCTTACCACATGAAGCTCATCCAGGTGATTTGGGCTGCTACTACTACTGCATCCACTGCTACTTCTCGTGCTCCACGTATCGTAATGGGCTTTCTTGGCCGGAACGTGCTGAAGTCGAACTTTCTATAGAAATAGAAGAAGCTTTACAACCGAACAATGTCATTTTTAAGACCGAAAAAAAAGATGCGCTATCGCAAGTTACGGGGGCATCCTCCAAGACTAAGCCTAGGAGAGAGCAGGAACTTCAGCAGAAATGAAGATTGTCCACGCACCCTGGAGTCTCTCCTCCTCCGTAAGGCTCGGTCTCATCTTTAATCATTTTTAATAAAAAGGGAAAATGTTGTTTTACATGGTTTTAAATGCATTGCCATCACAATGCCCCCGTATCTTGCGATAGCGTCAAGAAAGATTTTAAAAAGCTGTTCGAGCTCACCACGAAATCCGGAAATCCATACATCTCCACACCGTAGTCGTGCTCCGGTTTTCCGGGAGCTGCCATTTTTTCAAACTGAAAGAAAACACATTAGTAATTTCCAGTGACAGTTCAATCTAGCACAGCTCTTCGTAACAGCCTACACAAATCGACCGTGACAGCAACAGATGGCATGACAGCCTCAAAGCTTAACGCGAGCATTTCGAAAACATGAATTTCAATGGAAGATTTCGAGGAAGAAGGGGAAAATTGAGATTGTTGGCTGCAACCGACGTATCGTCATTCCCTGGAAGGACAGAGGTTGGCTAGAAGATTGAGAGTGGTGGGTTACGCAACGCGACCCCGCCACGACCCGGCTGTGCGCAAAACAATTCCGAGCCCTTCTCTGCCTCCGACACTCATCACTCTACCAAAGCCAATGGCATAGCCAATAGCGAATCCATGGATAGGCACTTACTGGAGTCTTCTAGAAAAAGCTATACCGCAGGTCTTCGAGCAGATCTCGACATCAGTAAATCAAATGGACCGGCTGCAAGCGGTCTTTTGAAACTAATAATAGAAATAAGAGGTAATTAAATGAGGTAAAGCTCAATGAAGTGAAATGACCACCGTATTCAGTCTCTATCTACCGGCTAAACCCTAGAGAAACTATTCAAAACAGTTCCTGAACCGAACAGCAGAGGCTGATCAACGCAGGTGCAGTTTTGACTTCTCCCAGGAAAAACTTAAACCTTCCACAAATATTCCAAACACTTGGTCTCAAGATAGGTAGCTAAAGTTCAATCATGAGGAAAGACAACTTCTAAAAGACAACAATAGCCTTTAGAAAGATATCAAGGCTACAGTAGATCAAGAATGACCTATCAGGAATGCACAACCTCAAGCTTAGTGAAGCCAGGATCAATGGTGGGTAGCTGGGTGAGCCTGACCACAATTGGCAGTTTTTGGCGACACACAATAGCCATTTAGCCAGAGGATCTACCCGCCCACGCCATCGGCATTCAGCGCTAAAAGTGCCGACACTGCAGGACGTGATATGGGACGGGATCTGGCCATAGATACGCCAAGACGGTTGCACAAGGTCATCTGGAGAGGCATCTGAAGTCTGCCATAGGGAAAACATCACAGTCGATCCGTGAGCCGGGTCACATCTACCGTAGAAATGTGAGAGAACGCGCTGGGTAGCGCGTTCCGCCAGATGCCCGATCATGGCCACGGTTTTGAAATCAAGCCGTTTAATAGAGGTGGACACTAAGACGGTCATTAATAATTCCCGATTCTCTCGTTCAAACCACAGCGGGAGCTAAGAGGCCAGCAGTTCACAAATGTGTTCTTACGACATCCATATGGCGCGCACGCATACCGTAGCCAACGCGTGCATCAGCACCGTCATCGAAGTTATTACGGCATGATTGCACGGCGTGCATCCGTTGACCACTGGAACAAAGCGTCTCGAGCGGACCACAAACTTCCGTCTACGATCCACGGATCTTGTTAAGGGGTACACTTTCACTGAATTCAATCTAGGACGTCTAAACTGAAGTTCTCATGGTTAAGTGAAGCGAACATGGAAAATTCGCTATCCCAACAGTTTTGATAATTTATTTTTTTTGTTTACATGCACAGTATGTTTTTGTAAATATTGAAAACCGAGTCATAAAAGCGTAGCCAACGCGCGGTACTTCCCATCAGCCAAGACCATCGATTTCACCCTCATCATAATCCACCATGAGCAATTCTTGAGCGATCCTGATGGGTTACTGATGAAGGTGAACTTTTAGGCTTTTGTATACAGTCCTTATCTAGCCGTCTGATTAGGCGTGTCTACGGACTTGACGTGGCGGCCGCCGCACTTGATAGAAGTCGCGTGGATAAGCTGCTTCCAGCATGCTTTGCTGATTTCCAGCAAAGTATGTTGGAAGCAGCTTATCCACGCGACTTCTATCAAGTGCGGCGGCCGCCACGTCAATCCGTAGACCGCCTAATCAGACGGGTAGATATGGACCGTATTTCTGACTCACAGCTGATAAAAAATCACGAAGGAAAGAAGGTCGATATTGAGGAAGCTTACAACGTTCAGAAAATGAAATCTTGATTCAGTGAAAAAATGAACCCCCGTGAAAAGAGTGGCAAGACCCACCTTAACAAAGCGCTTGCGCAGACGAGTCGAGCCACTAACCACCGATGTGCACCCGCGAGATTACGTCAGCAATGCATAAAGAACTGTGTGGATATGTTGACTGCTATATGCCTCTATTCTTTCTATAAAGGGGTGGAGCAGCGGCTGGTCAGAGCCGACCAGAGAGCATGCCGATGGAGAGGCTATCAACGAAGGCGGCACAATCTCAGTTAGCCACCACGAAAAGACCGTTATAACGGCGGATGGTGCAGAGCAAGGGTCAGCCCGAGACCATCTGCCGGGATATGCAAATTGTGGACAGCGGCAGAAGCCGAAAAAATCGCTCCCCCAATCTGACTGTAACGGAGAAAAAGCAGTAAATAATAGGATCTCATGCCAAGAAGGCGAGGAATTCAAAACAAGGGATAGAATAGGCCATCTGCGATCCTCAGCATGCCTGGGGTTGGAGTCTTTTTCCAGTGTTAGGCAAAATTGTCTGGCTAGCCTGTGTCCTTAAAAGTCTCCTACCGTTATTGACTGTTTGCAGACGATAAAAACCGAAGGACCCGGAATAAAGCTTCTTTCCAAAGAGGAGAGAATTACCAGTGAATGACCGTATTCGTGGCCTACGATTGTAAGCATGAGCTTGGAGTTACGGCTGTACATCGTGGTAGCTACTGTGTACTGTAGACAAGGCCAAGTTCAGCACGTACAGCCAAGTTCTGTGCAAAACTCGGCCCTGCACTTCAGTAGGAACTCATAATCGTTGACCGACCCCTGCAGGAAATATAC